GTGTGCATGCTTACTCTTAACCTCATATTTGAGGAGAACATCATATGTGGTTCTAACTTCTAAGGCCGGTCATGAGTCCAAATGAACAACATAACATGAGTTTTCGGTCTTCTAAAAACAGAATCAATTAAGTCTACAAAACGACCACTTTTAACATGAAAATACACAAGGCGACTTAAAAACTCTAAACCGTTGCTATGTAGCTCGAACCCCTCGGTGAATTGCTACGTTTTGGACCGGTTTTTATGTGGAATGTGAAACTAACCTGCTTTCAATTGTGTGTTGATTTTGATGGCTTTCGTTTTAGGTCCATAAGTCAGCAATGGTTGAAGAAAACTCCATAGCTAATAATGATATTTTGTTTGAAAGAAAGACACAATTAATAACGAGTTACTGTATACAGAATAAGAACGGTGTCGTTTTCTGCTGCCACGGCTGCGGCAACAGTTGTCGTTGAAAATGAAAAACCGAATTATATAAAAATAATAACGTGCACGTATAGAGATCGACCTAAGATCACCGCACATCATCATAAACATTAGCTGTCTTATCTATCTGAAATATACGATTCAACCCACATGAACTTGTCTCCATTTGGGCCCGATTCTAATTTATATTTATAAGTTCTTTGTGAAAATATATATGCCACCAAATAAAATAAAATAAAAACCCACGTGAGTTGTCGTAAGAGAAGAGTAGTAAAGAACAGAGGAAGTCCATACTTAAACATGACCCACTTCCTCTGAAAAGTGAAAAATCTCACTTCTATTATTTGCTTTCTTTTTTTTTTTCATCTGAAATATTATATGAAATACATAATTATAATTCATGATTGAAATACAAGGATAGAATGCGATGATGAAATACGAGGGTGGGATACGAGAGAGAAAAACATTCCGAGTACCAAAAGACGAATCCTAAAACCGAAAGACCAAACTATATCTAGGAAGACATGATACCACCAAAATTAAAAATCCAAGCAATACAACTTCAAACTTGACGAAACTAAATGACCTCCATCCATTGAATCACCAAGCTTTAGAACACAAGCTTCGAAAGACATAGAAAAAGGGAACGATGCAGCAGCAACCGCACTCGAGAAGACTTCACCAACTCTCGAGTCTAAAACTAAACCAAGTAAGAGTGACTCGAGCCAATAAAACCAAGAAGAAGAGATCACCAACAAGCCAATTTAGAACCCAATCAAATCTGAAGTTTCTTCATATTGAATACAACCTAAACCTCGAAGGCTTGACGTTGGTATGCATAAATGCCAATAGAAGAATTATTCGAAAAGCGGATAGAGAAGATACTAAACAACCAGCTAGGCGAGGAAACAACCTCGAAATCATCTTCTCACCAACGAAAGAGTCACACATAAATAGCAGCACCAAGACAACACCTTAACCTTAAGCAAGACCAAGAGAAAACGACGGCAAAAGCACACAGATCATCCGGAGGAGAGATAGCTTGGACCAAACTCAGTGAAAACAATTAACCTAGACATACATAGATTGATCGCTAAAGCAAACTAAAGGGGTTCTGCGTCAAGGAAGATAAATCTCCAAGGCCATCGGCAACAAGAATGAGACTCTCCACAATCACAATCAACAAAGACACTTAGCTACAAGGCTAGAGTCCGCCTAATACCAACCCAAATCGATACCAAAGGACAAGAACCCAACAAATCTGGACCTGCAAGCTATGAATCAGAGAGACCGATACCTTGTACCACCAGGCGAGTAGCCGATTCACCGCAAGACTCACTGACAAACTAGCCGGCGAACCGAGAGAAGCACCGACCGTACTCGACCGTACTCGATCACTCACCAGGCTAGACCTCGAGATCTCACCACCGGAACACAAGAGACCCCTTCGCCGAGAACTTCAAAAGCCGATACCAACGGAGTCTGGGAAACCAAACCCGACCGATGGCGGAGTTAACGGAGCCTCTGACCGTCGGCCGAGCCAAACACAAGATCGCTTCTTCTTTCTCTCTCTAGTAGCTAGGGCGAACCCAACTTGCCTTCTCTCTAATCCTACACTTTTTTACTTTTTTACATTTACTTACATTAAAGACAGTCATGTCATGGGACCTTAATGCTTTTTTAAAACGCATATGAGAGCTGATATCTAAAAAATTGTAAGATTCGTCAGTCATGTCATAAAAATTTTAAGAAAAGATATCAAGAGATATTTGGATTAATATAAGTAAGCTTTTAAGGCCAAAATTGTAATAAAAGTGACATGGGAGGAGTCACTTCAATCAATCGTAAACAGCTTTCTATTGTATGTAAACTGTACACTTCATCGATTAGCAGTTTGCTCATCTGATCTGTCTCACTGTTATGTATGGGAATTTTCTGTTTCCAGTAACCAATGCAAGGTGTAATTTCCATTCTTTATACCAGAAATAAAATAAAATATGAGACTATTTTTTTTAAAATAAAAAGTATTCAGTATTTAAAAAAAAAAATAGTTGTAACCTACTCGAAGTATGGGGTAATCTGTAGAAAACTACCTGAACTATAAAAATGTGTTTTAAACTACACCAATTTATAAAAATGTGCTTTAAACTACACAAAATATGAAAAAAACATATTGGGGTTTTAAAGTTTAAAACGTGATTTTATGATTAAATTGTAATTAAATTTTCTTTAACCCGATTTAATCAAATATCCGATCCGATCAATCCCTTAACCCGACCCAGTTCAGTTTATCATTTTAGCTGGGCCATATTAATTTGATCCAACATTTTTCTAAAACACAAAAACGAAGACATATATACAAATGACGTGAATTATGTGGAAACAAAGAAAACAAAACAAATAATATAACTTATAGTTGATTAAAATATTAAAATATCGTTAGTTTGAATAAGAAACATAACAATTTAGCCTATCAAATTTTAACACTTTTCAAACCAAAAACAAATTTAGCCGAGTAATTTTAGCAAAAAAAAAACAAATACAATGATAACTAACAATATTTTGATATTTTAATAAGAATATTTGGCTAAAATTTGAAAACAGGTTATATAATGATAAACACGCCATTTCGTTTTAAAGGTAAGATCGTAGTGTTCTTGATTTGAGAAAATTTGATGAACAGAGTGTTAGGAATAGAGATGGGCATGACGTGGTACGCAAGGATAGGGGGAAGAACCCATGGCGTGTTTATCATAGCTTTGGAGCCAACATATATGAACAATCAAAACAACAAAAACGGAAATCCAATCTAGTCCAAAACTCCTATACAAATTGCAAACGTAATTCTAACAGGATATAACTCAAATCACTTTGCAATGAAGCTCACATGGTGTATAACCAAATACGAAATGCAAATGAACCACGTGAGAGTCTCCTAGTGATCGGGTCGGATATTTGATTAAATCGGGTTTAAGAAAATTTTAATTATAATTTGACCCAAAAATCACGTTTTAAGCTTTAAAAACCCAATATGTTGTTTGCAACATGTTTTTTCATAGGTCGTGTAGTTTAAAGCACATTTTTATAAATTGGTATAGTTTAAAGCGCGTTTTTATATTTCGGATAGTTTTCTACATATTACCCTATACTTTGGATAGGTTACAACTATTTTCCCTATTTAAAATTTCATAAGAAATGAAAATGAATTGTGAAGGAAAGTAACTTTTGAAAAACGTGAACCTTTACTCAATAGTAAACACAACTTTTTATTTAATGGGTTTTGATTTTACGGGCCTACCAAACAAGGCCCAAATCGTTACAATCCACATTAACGGACTTAAATGCTTACTGCCTGTAATTCGTAGTACTTACGTTACACTCCCTCAACTTTTAATTTTAACAAACTGATCCCCAATTCAATTGTCGCGTGACTACTAATGGGACAGACTGCAAGACTCACCCTAAAGTGCCATTAGGCTTCTTGAGAACACTCTAAAGCTTTGGTCCATTCTCGAGCCATCGGATGATTCTCGAGATGCTTTACCGAATGCAGCAGAATTTCCAAGTCTTTCCCAATAATGCGTAGCATCATTAGCTGCTTCTCAAAATCTTGGAAACAGCTACTGATTGTCATACCCATTTCGCCTATAGAAGCTTCTGGTACAATCTCAGCCGTCCACTGAGAGTGATCTACGGTTGCTTCGTTTAGCCTGGAAAAAGAAGTTCACAATAAATGAAGTAACAATGTAGTTCAACATGGAACTATACGAACATATTCAGGGGTCTTAAATCAAGAACCAAACAAGACTTTTCCTTCTTCAGTTTTACTTACTTTTCCAGTATAGAATCTGCTTTTTTCAGGTTTTTCGCTCGAAACAAAACGTCAACAGTGTCCTCATTAACCCTAGCAAGCCCCTCAAGGGGACCAATCGACAAGCACATCGAGTGTATCTTTGAATCAGTTGTTTTCGAGTTTAGATTACCAATCCTTATAACGACAAATGAAGAGGGATGCTTTGAGCCATTGGAGCTGGTTTCCTTTTTCGCCTCGGAACTGGGACAAATAATGTTTTCAGCCTTGGATAAGTGATCTCGAGTCGAAGATGATGACTTGCTTGGCTCGGACAATAAAACATTTGACTCCGTCACATTTCTTGCTGGCGAAGAAGTATGCGCTTCTGTCTTACTCTTGCCATTCGTTTTCTGGTAAGAAAAATGGACTCAGCACAGTCAAGATCATCCAATCCTTATTGCTGCTTAAAGCGACAATTTTTTCAGCTTTCTTAACCGAGAACACCTGAAAAAAGTTTTAAAAAACATACCCATGAAATTTCTGGCTTTTCAGTCAGTAACATTGGCTTGGAAATTGAATCAGCAG